AATTAAAAAAAAAAACATTAAAAATTGTTTTAAATACCCAAATTTTCAGTTATGTTAGGATAAACAAAACAGAATAGATAAAAACTTCATATTCAATATGAAGAAAACTTTTTATAAATTCTGTGAAATTATAATATGCATGAAAGGGAATGTTATAATGACAGAAACACTTTTATTTATAAATAAATCTACTTACTTTTGTGAAACTTAAATATTCACACTCAATGACAATACTTCAATTGTGTTTATTTGTCCTTGATTCAGGTATAGCACTAAGGGGTCAATCAATCAAAAGAGATTGGTGGCTGCTCTGTGGTGACAAGAGACACGTAATAGAGAAATACTTGGTCTCGTGGCTCATTCTCCTTGGAGGCTTTCCTGGGGCTGGGAGAAATCAGAAAGCTCCTGGGTGCATGGAACCCCAGATGCCCTGCTGAATGCACAAGAGTCAACAATCCCTAATAAGACAAACTGCAGGTGACTGTGGGTTTGCAAGGCCCCCACCAGCCAAGGCGCTGTGGACGGAGCCCTACTGCAGAGCCCGGTCCTCAGCTAGACCCACCTGGTGCAGCCGTGACCAGCGCTCCGCCCCCTCCAGCTAGAGCTGGCTTTCCAGATGAGAAACTAGATTTGCCACAACTGTTTGCTCATGGCATTAGTTCATGACCAGAGCAATAGATTCGGGATTCCTGGAAGTATGATTCGTATGCACATGCACCTGTCTATAAACATGTTCATGTATTCATAGAGACTTTACCAGAAAATAGACACATAACAATTCTGGAAAGGAGGACAGGACAGAAGGGCTTAGAGTCGTAACTTCAGGATGCCATTGAAAGGAAATGTCACACCTGTTTTACTGAGGAGCTGAAGCTGTGACCCCTAGACGTGGGAAGCCCTAGAAGCCCTAACTAGTGATGCTAAGTCCTCAGCACCAGGGGACTGATGAGTACATTTCATGGTTCTCCCTGATGTGGGTCCCTCCACAGCAGTCTCCTCAGAGCCCACTTAACCTCCTTGTTTCTCAGCGTGTAGATGAGAGGATTGAGGGAGGGTGTCACCACAGTATAGAAGAGGGTGAGGAATTTACTGTGGTTCTGCGTGTACTTGCTCTTGGGTTGGATGTAGACAGAAATTATAGTCCCGAAGAACAAAACCACAACCAGCAGGTGGGAGCCGCAGGTCCCAAATGCTTTCCTCCTGCCTTCTGCAGACCTTATCCTGAGCACGCTCCTGGCGATGCAGCCATAGGAGACCAGAATCAGCCCCAGCGGTACAACCACGTAGAGGACGATGGCCAAGGAGAGCTCATTCTCCAGGAAGGTGGTGTTCACACAGGCAATTTTAATCAGGGCGGGCTCCTCACACATGAAGTCATCCACCCTGTGGTGGCTGCAGAGAGGCAGCTGGAAGACGAGGATGGTCTGAAGCGTGGACTCCACGAAACCACTGCTCCAGGCCACAGCTGCAAGCTGCCGGAGCAGCCTGGGGTGCATGATGACGCCGTAGTGCAGGGGGCGGCAGATGGCATTGAAGCGGTCGTAGGCCATCACCGTCAGGAGGATGCACT